GGACCGGAACACAGAAGCTGGATGCCGGCATCGGCCAGAGGAGATGGCCGGGGACGCTGCAGGGGACACATTGCGGGAGCGAAGGACAAGGTAAGCTCTGCATGGACTCCCTATGCAGCGCTGCATGGTAAGCCCGAGTGTAGCTGGGGGTCACCGCTTTTGGCACTGACATTTTACCCCGAGCTACACTCGGGAATACCGCTAGGGAGGTTAACTGACAAATGCACGGTCATGCAATGCTGCACCCAAATAAATTTACGTCTTTTTTCCCACAAATAGAGCTTTCTTTCAGTGGTATATGATCACCTCTGCATTTTTTATTTTTTGTGCTATGAAAAAAATAAAAATTACAATTTTGAAAAATATATATTTTTGACTTTTTGCTATTAAACATGTCCAGTAATAAAATGTTAAAAATCAAATTTCGTTATAAATTTCTGACAATGTTTTCTGCTACATGTCTTTGCTAAAATAAATCCTAATACATGTAAATTAATTGGTTTATGTGGCAGTTATAGCATTTACAAATAGCAGTATATATACTGGAATTTTAAAATAAATTTTTTTTTTACTAGCAATGGTGGCAATCTGCGGGACCGCAGAGGGCATTCTGACATTGGAGGGAACTAACTGCACTGAAACTGTACTAATGGCACTGGGCAGGAAGGGGTTAACATGTGGGGCGTTCAAAGGGTTAACCGTGTGCTGTTTTACTGTGTGCTGTGTGTGTGCTTTACACTGCAAGCACACTGCTTTATATGTCTCTGCTATGCGGAGCCACACAAGGCAGTGTGCAGGAGCTGACAGGAGAGAGATCTGTGTTGTTTATACCCAGGTCTCTCCCCCGTCAGTAATAATCAGAGATCGCCGGGGGCCGGCGGGGAATCACCGCCTGGGACCCGGTGATTGACAGCTGAGGCTGCGAAATGCAAAATCACATATACAGTATATATATGTATGTATATATGTGATTTTGCACACCAGTGCCACCCTGTAGCATTATTTCTGCTATAGGGCGGTGTGGAAATGGGTAATGGCTGCTTTTTTCTCTTTGTAAACAAATCAGTCAGGGATTATCCTCAACATCCATATCAAACTCTTGTCTTTAATGAAGTTCTGGTATAGATTTTAAGGAGGGAAACCCACTCATCTTCCCCCCAAAAAATGGCTGGGAGTGCCCCTGAAATCTCTATCAGACCCTTTTCTGTACATGAAGCCTGGCTGGGCAAGAAAGTTGGGGGTGCATTGAGAACGTGCCCCCACTCCTGAACAATATCAGGGCACATGCCTTCAACACAGGCTGATGGCTGACTGCATGCTAGAAACCAATGATGTTGTGCGGCTGCCTGTGTATTAGCATTGGCATCCAAAAACCATTGGCATCTGCACTCACACAATGTCATTGATTGTTATGGGGCTAGCTGACAGCCAGAGCTACAGCTACTGATGAATGGAGGGGCAAGCCTTGAGAGGAAAATTGTCATTTATAAACTGAAGTGATAACGACACTAAAGGAAGTCAGAAGATTAGTTGCGTAAATTGGCCAAATCTGGAAATTTTATTCTCTGTTCAGAAAATGGTGAACAATGTGGGTTTTCGTCAAAGTTAAGGTTGACTTGGACCTGAAGCTCATCTCTAGTTATTACATACAGAATATTACCAAATAAAAGTGATGTGAGTAAAATATTACTTTTGAAGGCATTCTTTTAAGAAAATGGAAGTCAATCTTCTTAAAAGTGCTTGAAACAGAATAATGTGAACAGATTCAGTAGTAAAACAAACTTCATTACATTGCTACATTTTTATGTCACACAGGCTTCTGATGGAGACTGCAAGTGACCATTTCAACACAAATTACACAGGTATGGTCTACTGTTGTTACCATCAGGATACCCACCCTAAAAAGCCATACAGTTGTTAGCAGGTGCAGTTAGCTAGTCTGCCACTAGGTGGCTCTGTCCCAAACTAGTGTGGTAAAAAGGAACTATGTAATTGGATGTTATGGCCCTTTGGGGTTAAGAGAAAACCTTTCTTTAGTGATGTGATGAGTGGAGTTAGTACCTATGTAACTGCCAAGATGGGCAGAGCCTTAGAGAGTTGGAGCATGGCAGTCGAACACCCCAGAACTATTCAGATGAAGTCAGCTACTGCCAAGGGCTCTTAGCAGGGCTCAAACTCTGGATGAGGCAATTCAACACCCAGAAGGATAAGTGGTAGTCGCCCTGATTCTTTAACAGTCTGACATGGACTGTGAGCGTGTTGCAAATGCCTTTTACAGTAGGACAGCCTAAGTGTCCTCTGAAGTGAGTACTAATACATCTGGGTATGATTGTGTAATCAGGAAACATGCCCAGCGGGGTAGAGCTATAGAATGGGACATGGAGAGAGAGACCGGTATATTAAAGAAAATTATTATTATTATACAGTATTTATAAAGCGCCAATAGTTCGCTCAGCGCTGTGCATTACAAAGGGGGACAGAACATGTGACAGAACAATAACAATACAATGCAAAACATGAGGGGATCGAGGGCCCTGCTCTTTCGAGCTTACAATCTAGGAGAAAAGCACCTTAATTAGACTCAGTGAAAGAAGCTGAATGCTGTGATCGTAGTATAAATGGGGAAGTAGTCCTGAGAAGAGAGGAGATGAGAAGGGAAAATGGCTTACAAAATTACGTGCTGGTGTTCTATACCAAAATTACAGCTACAGAATGTTTACTCCTATGCATGGAGTTCTGCACCGAAGAGTTCTGTCTGTATGTCATTGCAATGTTAGAAGTATACTGTATATACATTAAAGCTACAGTAAAGTGTGAAAAATACATTACTTGTGTTGACATTCCTTGTTTCTTTACTATTAAGGCTCAAGGCCAGGGATGTCGTGAGCGGGCCTAAGGCTTGGAGTTTGACACAATATGGAGAAGGCTTTCACCTATTAGCAGGTGGGTAGCTGTCTTATCCAAGAAGAAGCAGGGTGGGAACAGTTTGGAGCCAACAATCATCCACTCAAAGGTCCCCTTATGCCTCGTATACATGATCAGAATATTGTACAAAAATGCAGCTTTTAAAGCGATCATTTGATAATCTGATCATTAGTACACAGCAATCGTACGAAAAAAATAGAAGGGACAAGCATGAAAATTTTTATTGTATGATACCGGATCGTATGATTTTTGTTTTAACCCGTACAGTAGTTGTCCGAAAATTCAATACAAATACATTACATTCTTCAGAATTTTTATTCCGTTGTTAAAGATTTCATAACTTTAGTAACCTCTTCACTTTTGTTATGAGACTAGCGTGCAAAAAAAAGGGACAATCATTCGTCCGATATTCTGATCGTGTTTACGGGGCTTAACAAAGTCATCAATGGAGTAAATGCTGGTAAAAAGGAACTGGGTGCACGAGACTGCAGGAAATCAACAGCACTGCGATGGAACAACGTATGAAAAAAGAAGAAAATTCACATTTTACTAAAAAGAAAACAATATGGCAGTTGTTTAAAATAGTTATTTAGCAAACTAAATGGAATTCAAACTAAGGTTTACATCTTCTTTGGCATAAATGTGTAATGCAAGCTGCAAGTTGGGTTTAGAGGCTCCTTAGATATAAGTGTTTAATGAAACAGCTCTTCAGTGACTAAAAAGAAACAAATAAAGGTTCTGTTCTTATAGATAACAATCTGCTGCCTCAGATTTGTTATATTGTCAGCAAAGCAATGACTCATTTTTGCACAAGGTTCCTTGTAGACTGAAGACAACAGTGAACTGTACACAGGACCTTATCTTATTACCACTTAGTCATCTAACCTCATTGGGAGACACTAGGGACATTAACAAATAGTTGCTTCTCAAGGTAAAGGAAGAGCAAGAGTCAACATTTGCACAGGTTACTGATTCACCTGTTTTGATTGAGACCCTTTAACTTAATCATTGACTGTTTTCTTAAACACTTGGCTATCACAAAAAAGCAGAAAGAGAATGGTAAGATAACACCCAGGAGGTTTTTCATTATGTGTCACTGATACGGTCTGTGAAAAGCAATGACCTTTGTAGGGTAATGCAATGCGTGTTTCACTACTCAGAGAAGGATGATCTCAAATTAAAGCACTAAAATACCAACCGACCATCAAGGACTGATAAAATTTATACTGTTTCTTTGAAGCTGCATATACTTTTATCAGTCTGTAAATCATTTATGCGTTTCAACAATGTAGTCATTTGTTCTAAATGTTAAGGGTTTACAAGTTGTATTCTGGCAGTTAATGATCACCTGCAATAAAAAAGAGGTGTTAAATACCTGTTAAACCTTCAGGTCAATAGTTATAAAATCAAAGTTGCATTTATTCTTCAAGTACACAAAGATTTTAAGGTACCATTGTACTTTAGAATATAACTGTCCAATCTTGCTCATTTCATCAAGACATGACAGTGATAAGGACCTCTATTTATGATCCCAGCACAGACTAGTAATTGTTGTACCATCAAGATAGCAATTTTACTGGAAGAGTAAGCAGTGTCACAGGCATCCCTATTAGCAGGATACAAGTTGTCTATAAACACATCTGTTATGAAAATGTAGCCAGATCATCCATAAATGTTTGATTGCCATTTTTTCAGGTCATAGAATAAGTTCCCCATGGGGTTTCATTTTTAGGTTATTTTTTTTAGTCCAACCCAATGGAGCCATTTAGAAAGCCTTTCTAGCAATCCTGCCTACTACAGTGGATATAAAAAAACGTATACACACCCCTGTTAAATGTCAGGTTTCTGTGATGTAAAGAAATGAGACAAAGATAAATCATTTCAGAATTCTTTCCACCTTTAACCGCCTCCCGCCCACCATATAAGGAAATGATGGGAGGACAGTGGTTCTCTTGTTCTGGGAGGACGTCATATCACATCCTCCCTCTGGCTAGCTGGGGGCGCGCAGTGCAGTGATTGGTGGTGCGCTGTTTTGGTGGGACACAGCGGATTAACAATTGCAGTAAAGCACCGAGCACTCTATCATGTGATCAGCTGTGTCAGCTGATCGCATGTAAATAGGAAATGCCGGTTATCGGCAGTCCTCTCACGCTCACCTGCTAACAGTATCCTGATGATCAGTGTTGCCCCATTAGTGCCACCTGTCAGTGCCCACAACTGCCATCTGTCAGTGCCCATCAGTGTACATCAATGCCACATATCAGTGCACATCAATGCCACATTTCAGTGCCCATTATAGCTGCCTTAGAGTGCCAACTATCAGTGCCAGTCAGTGCTGCCTATCAGTGACCATCAGTGCTGCCAATCAGTGCCACCTATCAGCGCCAGTCAGTGCTGCCTATCAGTGCCAGTCAGTGCCGCCTATCAGTGTTCCTCAGTGCCACCCATTAGAGCCACCTAACAGTGCCAGTCAGTGCCACCTAACAGTGCCAGTCAGTGCCACCTATCAGTGCCACCTATCAGTGCCATATATGAGTGCTGCTATTCAGTGCCCATCGGTGATGCCTGTCAGTGCCCACCAGTGATGCCTGTTAATGCCCATCAGTGCCACCTATCAGTGCCTCCTCATCAGTGCCACCTATCAGTGCCCATCACTGCAGCCTCATTAGCACACATCAGTGAAGGAGAACAATTACTTATTTACAAAATTTTACAACAGAAACGAAGAAAAAATATATATTTTTTAAATTTTCAGTCTTTTTTAGTAGAAAAAAATAGTGGTGATTAAATACCACCAAAAGAAAGCTCTATCTGTCTCAAAAAAATTATACAATTTTTGTTTGGGTGCAGTGCTACATGACCGCGCAATTGTCAATCAAAGTGCAACAGCACTAAAAGCTGAAATTTGTCCTGTGCAGGAAGGGGGTAAAAGTGCCCGGTAGGCAAGTGGTTAATGTAACTTATAAACTGTACAACTCAGTTGAATAACAAACTGAAATCTTTTAGGTGGAGGGAAGTAAAAATATAAAACTAAAATAATATGGTTGCATAAGTGTGCACACCCTTAAACTAATACTTTGTTGAAGCACATTTTGATTTGATTCCAGCAGTTTTTGTGTATGAGTCTATCTGCATGGCACATCTTAACTTGCCAGCATTTTCCCACTCTTCCTTGCAAAAACACTCCAAATCTGTCAGATTGCAAGGGCATCTCCTGTGCACAGCCCTCTTCAGATCACCCCACAGATTTTCCATCAGATTCAGGTCTGGGCTCTGGCTGGGCCATTCCTAAACTTGAATCTTCTTCTGGAGAAGCCATTCTTTTGTTGATTTGGATGTACAGTATGCTTTGAGTCGTTGTCATGCTGAAAGATGAAGTTCCTCTTCATGTTCAGCTTTCTAGCAGAAGCCTGAAGGTTTTGTGACAATATTGATTGGTATTTGGAACTGTTCATAATTCCCTCTACCGTGACTAAGGCCCCAGTTCCAGCTGAAGAAAACTAGACCCAAAGCATGATTCTGCCACCACCATGCTTCACTGTGGGTACGGTGTTCTTTTGGTGATGTGCAGTGTTGTCCTTGTTGTACAGTTTTATAGGTTACATTAAAGGTTGGAAACAGTTCTGAAATTATTTATCTTTGTCTCATTTTTTTACATAACAGAAATCTGACATTTTAACAGGGGTGTGTTTGGGGCGGACTGACAACTCATGGGGCCCCCAGGCAATAGGGGATCATGGGGCCCCTGTGTCCTTGCCCAAACTCAAAAAAGCCTATGAAAAAGTTACCAGGGGCATCTCATGGGGCCCTCTACTGACCCCCGGGCCCTCGGGCAGTGCCCAAGTTTTCAGATGGTCAGTCCGCCCCTGGGTATGTATACATTTTATATCCACTGTATGCTAACAGTTAAAGGAGCCAGTTAATCCAGATCTTCCTTGAGCAACCTCTAGTATTTTTTTTCCAATCATTTGGCTGGATTTTTACTGTATACCATTATCTTGCTTTCAGGTCAAGCATGCTGATCTTAAACTTCTAACTCTTTCAAAAACTCCTCTATAGCGTTAGACAGGCATTAATGAGCTTGGTATGTTACTGTTCTAAAAGCATTAAAAATGCTCCCCAAATGCCCTATGTGTGGTTTTGAGCCATTTTATAGGCATTTTACAGCATTAAAAACGCTACAAATGCCTCTAATACACTCTAATGGTATTAATGCGCCCCTGCCCCGCAAAAAATGCCACAAATGCCCCGCAAATGCCCTGCCAGATGTTTGAGGAGCGTCACGGACCATAAACTTGAATGGGAGGCATGTAGAAAGGCTTCAACTCCTGACTTGACATGAGGCTTCAATTTTGAAGCGACGCTAACCTTCCAGTTTTGCTAATGTGAACAGTCTGCAGCCCCACAGTATCATTTCCATAGGCATTTGAGGAGCGTTACAAATGCCCCTCAAACGGCACTTTAAAGTTAGATGAACTAAGCCTGTGTGCTGCCATCTGCTGGTCTAACAGGGATTGGTGAAGAGCCTGTATTGTTAACAGCAGAGGACATTGCTAGTATTGCTAAATCTCTGGGGTCCCATACATAGTTAATAAACTCTGCAAGGGTGCAAACAGAGGGTTTGGATGAACTGAACCACATTATTTTAGTTGGGTAAGGGAGGTTTGTTAACTACCTGTCCTCCTGATGGATTTACTCCCTTCCTGACTAGGCCATTGATTTTACGGTGCTGTTTTTTAACTGACAATTGCCGAGCAAGTTGTACAGTTTATCCTTAGGTTACATTGAAAGGTGGTATTTGAAACAGTTCTGAAATTATTTATCTTTGTCTCATTTTTTAAACATAACCAGCTCTGACATTTTAACAGGGTGTGTTAGGGGCGGACTGACAACTCATGGGGCCCTATTAATAGGGGATCATGGGGCCCATGTTTCCTTGCCCAAACTCAAAAAGCCTATTAAAAAGTTACCAGGGGCATCTCATGGGGCCCCCTACTGACCCCGGGCCCTCGGGCAGTGCCCAAGTTTTCAGATGGTCAGTCCGCCCCTGGGTGTGTATACATTTTATATCCACTGTATGCTAACAGTTAAAGGAGCCAGTTAATCCCATTCATCTTCCTTGAGCAACCTCTAGTATTTTTTTTCCAATCATTTGGCTGGATTTTACTGTATACCATTATCTTCCTTTCAGGTCAAGCATGCTGATCTTAAACTTCTAACTCTTCAAAAACTCCTCTATAGCGTTAGACAGGCATTAATGAGCTTTGGTATGGGCATTCTAAAAGCATTAAAAATGCTCCCCAAATGCCCTATGTGTGGTTTTGAGCCATTTTATAGGCATTTTACAGCATTAAAAACGCACTACAAATGCCCCTCTAATACACTCTAATGGTATTAATGCGCCCCAAATGCCCCGCAAATGCCACAAATGCCCCGCAAATGCCTGCCAGATGTTTGAGGAGCGTCACCATAAACTTGAATGGGAGGCATTGAAAGGCTTCAACTCCTCCTGACTTGACATGAGGCTTCAATTTTGAAGCGACGCTAACACTTCCAGTTTTGCTAATGTGAACAACACTGTCTGCAGCCCACAGTATCATTTCCATAGGCATTTGAGGAGCGTTACAAATGCCCCTCAAACGCCTGCTTTCAAAGTTAGTGTGAACTAAGCCTTAAGCTAGTTTGCCATCTGCTGGTCTAAAGAGGGATGGTAAGAGCCTGTATTGTTAACAGCAGAGACATTGCTAGTATTGCTAAATCTCTGGGGTACTCACATACATAGGGGAATAAACTCTGCACTGCTGGGTGACAAACAGAGGGTTTGGATGAACTGAACTGCACATTGGGAGTTGGGTAAGGGAGGTTTGTTAACTACCTGTCCTCCTGAGGATTTACTCCCCTTCCTGACTAGGCCATTGTTTGTGTTACGGCGCTGCGTTATTTTAACTGACAATTGCGCGTTCATGCAATGTTGTACCCAAATGAAATTTACATCCTTATTTCCGCACAAATTGAGCTTTCTTTCGGTGGTATTTGAAAAAAAAAAGACCGACAATTTTGAGAAAAGAAAATATTTTTGACTTTTTGCTATTAAACATGTCCAGCAAAAAAATTTTAAAAAATCAAATTTTGTAATAAATTTAGGCCAAAATGTATTCTGCTACATGTCTTTGCTAAAAAAAAATCCCAATACGTGTAAATTAATTGGTTTATGTGAACAGCCATCCAGAGCAGTGTGCCCGAGCTGACAGGAAGGAGGACTGTTAGTAAACAAAACAGTCCTCCTCCCCATCGGAGCTGCTCGGTAATCACCGGGCGCCGGCGGGCAATCACGGGTCCGCGCGCGGGTAGGGCGCACGTGCGACTCGTGCGCACTCCCTACCCAGAAATACAAAATCACGTATATATATATATATATATATATATATATATGTGCTTTTGCGCACCCCTGCCACCCTGTATCAGTATATCTGCTATAGGGCTGCAGGAAAGTGGTTAAATAGAACTTATATGTATTAACTGTGTACACTGCACAGATTTGCTGAAATTTTTGTAAACAGAAAATATGTGACATTCTTACAGACAGAATCATTTTTTTTTCATTAAGCACTTACTGTCACACAGCAACTGTTTTGGACAGAATTTTGTCCTTGACAGCATTGCTTACAGAGTGGAGCAAACTGGTTTATGTAATATAAAACATAGCATATGAAATGCAGCAGCTAGAGTTTTGTAGCACAAAACATAGCATAAAGAGTGCAGTTGTCATCAAAAGTGTGCAATGTATTAGCCCTAACATCGGTGTCAGGGGGAGAAAAACTACCTTACATTTGTGTCAGGGTTGATGAACACTGTCTCGTAAATTGGTGTCATTGAGAGGAAGGTGAATCCTTGAATTAGTGTCAAAGGGATGATGACTGTGCCATATATTGGTGTCAGTAAGATAAGGAAAGACCCATAAGGGTCACTTTGACACACTGAACAGCCTGTAAAAGAAGAGGAAATATACTGTACTTACTTTTCTGGAAGCTGTGTTGAAAAGCCACTGCTTTGCTGCCCAGTGGATGGAAGTAGCAGGTATCTGAACCACCCAAAGGAATGAATATCTGCTGTGGCAAAGCACCACTGTGGTGTTTCAACACAAAGACCAATGAGAGGGTAAATATCTTTTTTTCACACAGTGTTCATCGTGTCCAAGTGACCCTGTGACCTCAAGGCCATGCTAAATTGTTATAGTGGGATGAAGACAATCCTGTACATTAGTGTCAGTGAAAGGAAGACAGATTCTTACATTTTTATAGTGGGATTAAGGCTTTCCTTAGATATTGTGACAGGAGTGACTTTTGGGGGCGGGGGGACCCCTGTTGTTCCTCTTGTGTGTAGCCCACCCTGTGCCTTTTAGGGGTACAGGGTGGTCTGTCCTGGTATTGTGTAAACATGTATAGGTGGG